GTGGGCATCTGAGCCAGGTGGGCGCCATTCCTGGCCTTCCTCCGTGAGGTTGCTGTCCGTGCCACTCTGCCAAAGCCACAGCAGGCTTCTTGCCCTTTAAGCCCAGTCTTCTACTTCTCCCAGCATTTCAGATAGTGATGCAGTTACCATAGCAACTCATAAAGAATTTCGCAGAAAAGTCCAACCAAACCTACATCTCCAAGCACAGCAGACCAGGCTGCCTGCACCCCCTGTGACCCTTTTCACTGCCAAAGCCAGAAATACACAAGCACGTGACCAGGCCTGTGGCCATCACCACGTGGCTGTGTCCCAAGAATGCCACACTGGGGTCTTGGCTACTGTTGGTGCTGAGAGGAGCTGCAGGGGTGGGCGGGTGCCAGGGCGGAAGCCCCTCTGTCGCCTCACCACACCCAGGCCAGGGGCAAGTGCAAGAGCTGTGGCTGGACTGAGCATCGGTACACACGCCCTCGGACCTCTGCAACTGCGAGAGGCGCCACGCCAAAGAGAACTCTGGGCGCGGGGACCTCACGTGGCACGGGTCTCATCTCTGATGCCCGTTAAGCCGATTTCGACAAGGACATCAACATCAGTACCTCTGCTTTATGTAGGAGGCCAAGAGGTCATGGGACACAACAGTAATAAAAGATTCACTGAGTGCTGACCAGGTACCAAGTGTGGTTCAAAAATCTTTTATGTGCATTATCTGAGTCCTTAAGATACTCATTTGAAACATGCCCACAGCCCTCTTTTGTTGGTGGGGGAACAAAGGCAAGCAATAGATTCAAGGACGGTCCTGCCAAGGCGAGGCGGCAAAGCCTACCTCAGGAGAGGTCAGGCTCCCTTGCCGGTGCCCCAGGCCTGCATCACCAGGAGTCATTCAGCAGGTGGCAAGAGCCATCCACCAATACACCCATTCCAGCCTCTGCCGCTGGGGACCAGAGGAGACAGTGTCCATGGCCTAAGCTACGTAGTCTGCAAACTACACCGCTTGAAATGGTGAGGTCACACCTTACTCAGCAAAGCAATCAAAGGCAGGGCCCGCACCGTGGGCAGGGCTGAGGCAGACACTGTTCTGGGAACAGAGCTGGGGGTGTGACTCAGAATTTGGGGGTCACACTGCCGCCCCTGCTCTGCTAAACCTGTGCAGATCAGAGATACAAGAGGAAGGTAGCCAGAAACTGGATCTGAACCCAAGGTTTTCTAGCTGGAAGGCATATTGTGTGGCTGGTGGACAGATGGCGAAAACACTTGTGACGAGCGACAAGCAAGAACTGTGCCACTCATACAGGCCCCAACACCAGCATGCGCGTGTGCGCACGTGCGCACACACACACACACACACACACACACACGGCCTTGCACAGGTGTGCAAATCGGCCGCCCCCCCCCAACCCCGCAAATAGCTCCTCATGGCCAGGGAATGAAACTAGGCTTTTATTCCTTTCTATTTCAATTGTATTTACAGCCAAAATTTAAATAAAGAGCAGAATAAAAGACAGACCACAGGAAGACGGAGCCAGGCCTTTCGCAAAAGCAAAGACCTGGATGTGGATGGAGAGGAAAGGAGCACAAGAATGAAAATGTGTCCACACACCAGCCCCCTACATGAGTGGGAGTGTTACACCCAGCAAACGGGGGTGCATAAACGAGCAAAAACTGGTAAAAAAAAAAAAAAAGTTGCAAGCAAACGCTGGATGCCGTTTGTGGGCAGAAACAGGCTTGCCCACTCTTCAGCAGACTGCGCGTGGCAAGCAGGCTCGGAGCCCAACCGTGCCCCGACAGACGCTGTTAACAAAGTGCGCAGGGCCTGCTGTGTAAGAGCACTGCCCTTCTGCACTCGGCGATCCCAGGACAGGCGCAGACTGCGCCCTGCAAAGGGACCCGCGTCTGGAGCCTGCAAGACCCCGCTTCTGTGGAGACACTGCGCACGCTCGCTCCCGCTGCGTCCCTGGGCCTGGTGCACCTGGACTCGAGGAATCTGCTCATGCCAGCCTGCAGTGACCCCAGGGCAGGGTCACCACGGCACTGTGACACAGTCCCTCCGTGCGGCTGAGGGTTAATGGTGGAAGGGATGGAGGGCGGGGCTCTGGCCTCTGGGCCATCTCACCGAGCTGGTAGCTTTCCCCGCAGAAGCCTCGACCTGCAGAAGGATAACGCACTATCTCTCTTTGTGGTGAGAGTGATGTCATATGGCATTCTGGGAACACCAATTTCCAAAAGGCCTGTTTATTTGTGAAGAGATGGTTTCCAGGACTAATTAAAAAAGAAATGACTCACAGAATTCTAAAGACATAGCCCAGATGCCAGAGCGGTCACAGGAGGCTCTGGTATTTCTTTCTTCATCACAAATCCTCCTGGCTTGGAAAAACTCGGGCCGCGAAGGCTCAGGAGCCTGCTGCCGTCTTCCCTTAGCTAAGGCAGAAGCTTCCAGAATGCCCTGCGCAGCCCAGCGCTGAGCCTGCCTGCTCCTGGGCTCCGCCCGGCAAAGAACTTTCAACAGCTCAACTCACAAGATAACCCGGGCAGCAGGAGTCACCCGCTTCAGACAGCAGGAGGAAGCCTGGCGCCTCCTATTCTACTTGCGTTGAAAACTACCCCCAAGAGATTGGAAATGACTAGCAAGCTAGAGTACTACCTGGACGAGTGAATTGTGTGGCTGATTGTGACCACGTAGCCAGCTCCTCCGACGTCCAGGTAAGGGCCGGTCAGCGAAATCAACCCTGGATTAGCCACCGCATGGAGATACCTGGGGCGGACAGAGCCAGATCACGTCTCAGGCACAAAGAACCAGCATCTCAAAATAGTTACCCTCAATTATGCATGCGTTATATGAAAATTCAAGGGGTTTCTTACCCTTTGTGTCTGACTGTAGCGTCAACACAAGAGGTTAAGGGAAGGTGAGTCTCCTTGTTTCTAATGCTGAACTCCCCGTATGCGTGCGCTTTCCCTAGGACCTGCACTACTGAGGTTTTAGGGGCTGAAGTAAAAAAGGGATTAATGGATGAGGTATAAATGAGTACCCCTGGGAGGCTTTTATTCTTGGAAATCAGACTAAACTAAAGTCAGGATGTGAAAGAACGTTTGTGAATCATGTGCAGGTCATACGCAAGCTGCACGTGGATGCTATGGCCGTGTGACACCAACTGGAAGTCCGTCCCCCGGGGAGGATGCTCCATGCGCCAGGCAGGAATTGAACAAGCTGAGGGCCAGGTGTAAGGCGCTTCAGTATTCACATTCCCACAAAGACAGAGAAACTTTGTAGGGAGAGAAAACTGACCAAGCTGCTGTTTACGCCATGCCTGAAACACTACTGGGAAACAGTTCTGGCCTGGGGAGCTCTTCTGCACTGTGGCTACTGTGTATTCAGCTCGTCCCCCGGGATGGGGCTGCCTGGACAGCAGGGCCCCCAGACTCACCACTGTCTCCGGGTGGGATCGAATGCTTTGTCCATGAGGGAGCCGGGGTAAATTCTGAGGACGCCGTTGGGCGTTGCTATGTAACGGCGGACAATGTAAGTGTTCAGGCTGCTCATTTCCATTTGTGTCATCCATTCATCAGTGACGTGGCTGGTCGCCATAACTTCATTGCGCACAGAGAACTGGGGACAAAGGAGGATGGCAGGGCTCCTGTAATGCTCGCGTGAGAGAGCGCGGGCTGCCCGCAGGCCCGTCACACTGTCGCCCCGAAACAGAAGCCAAGGCCGCTTCCTTCCTGAAACCCTCCCATGGCACGGGACGCAGCCCAACCCGGGGAAGACTAAAGTTCCCAGAAACGAAGGGGCGGTGCCGGGTGGACAGCCCTCACCAGGCTCTCTGGGTTTAAGTGGGAACAGCCTACGGGGAACTTGAGAGACCCATCTCTGCACACGGAGGGGCCTTCTCAGCTTTCCCCTGGGACTAGGGGACAGGAAAGTTCTACCTGCCTCTGAACTGCACCTGTGCCTTCGAAACCCCAACCCAATTCTTCTCCCAAAGGGCTCCTTAACCAGTCTGAGGGTCATGGCTGACTGCCCGGGCCTCCCCTGCTCCATCAGAGGGCACCACCAGGATGCCCTCTAGGGTGGTCCCCACCTGGTACTCACTTTGAGCCCTGGGTTGGCAATGAGGCGGGTGTTGTCACTCAGGTAGGCGGTGTAGTGCTCCACCATGCGCTTGGTCTCGGGCTGGCTGAGGTGCTCGTAGGGAGAGGAGAAGCTGCCCGCTGACAGCATGACTGTCGGACTCTCTGAAAGACAGGCGACGGTGGGCCTAGAACGCAGGACACCGCCAGGCTTGGCACAGGAGAGGGTGCTCAGCCCCACAGGGAGCCCTAGTGCCTCAGGGTTGAGGGTGATGGGAGCACAAGGCCACCAGTGGCACGGCCTGGCTGGGCGGAACCTCGCCCCACCGTTACCTCGGCTAAATGGCGGTCATCTCTATTTCTTGGGTGACTTCTGCCTCCTGGTGTCCTTTCCTTGGAGATGTTTCCTTCTGGTACTGGAGATTGAACCCAAGGCCTTCCCACTGACATGTAACTCCACCCTCTTTTTAATGTTTTAAATTCTGAGACAGGGCCTCACTGGGTCAATAAATGGCCCAGGTTGGGCTGGAACTTGTGATCTGCCTGCCTCAGCCTCCCAGAGTGCTGGGATGACAGGTGCACACCGCCACATCCAGCTCATGCCTGCTGACCTTGGGCTGGGGCGTGGCTCAGCAGGGCACTTGCCCAGCATGAGCCTCAACCCCCAGGAACGTGCAGGAAGCCTAAGAGCCCTCTCTCAGGAGGACCCCAGGGCCATGCTGCTGGGCAGGGGCGCTGGTGGAAATGAGGGTCTAAGCCACAGACTTCGGTATGGACCAGGCCATAGCTACCTGGCTTGAAAGCATGGAAGTTTGCTAACCTGCCCTGGGGCAGGGGGAGAGGAAGGACCCCAGCAGGACCCCACTTCCTTTCTGTTCCTCTCTCCAAGTCTGCCCAGCTCCCCAGGATTCACCCACATGGGTGGAGTGTGGGAAGGAAGGCCGTGGTTTCCCTTAGTAGAACCTCCATCTGGGGGCTGCAGGCTCGATTTCTGCCCCTCTTCCCCACCCTTAGAAACCCCTAGCTCAGGCTTTGCTCTCAGAAGCAGCTCCAGGGGCCCTGCTCTGGGCTCTTGGGCTTCCCCCAGGGCTTTGCCCAACACCCCTGACCATCAGCAGAGCTGTTCTGTCATTGGCAAGGTTTTAACCCAGGATCACGCTTACTCCCTGGACTGTTAGGGTGGGTCCGTGTGAGCCAGGCCGTCCTTCTCAGGAGCCACTGCTTCCCAAAGTGTGATTTTTTACCGGCTTCTTGGGATGGCTCCGCAGGGCATCTTGGGAGCCTGCCTGTGCTGAACCATGGGTAACTGAAGGGAGGCGCAGCAGAGGGGGCAAGCCGCCTTGGCAAGCGGCCTCCTTTGCAAGTTTTTCTTTTTCTTTTCTTTTTTGCCTTTGAGACAGGGTCTCGCTATGCAGTGTAGCCCAGGCTGCTCTCAAACCCACAGGAATCTTCCTGCTTCTAACTCCCTAGTGCTGGGATTACAGGGGTGTGTCACTATGCCTCACAGCCTTTCTTGAAGTGAGAGGAAGGAAAGGTTGGAATGCTACCATGGAGACAAAGGGCAAGAATCGAGACGCAGAGCCCACGGCCACAAGTCTAGGCAACAGACACACATTCTGGGAGGTGGGTCTGAGGCACTGAACCAGGGCCTTCCCCTGAAGTGACACCCCCAGCCCCCTTATTACTTTTTATCTTTGAGATACCAAAGCTCCAGCTCCCCAGGCTGTGTTTACACCTGGAACTGTCCTGCCTCAGCCTCAGGAGTGCTGGCTGGGGTTACAAGCCTGCACCACCATGCTTGGCTAGATGACGCACTCGCCAAAAAATTCTGCTTCATTGTTCTGCGATGTGCTTCCACCCCCCCCAAGGGAGCTGACAGTCTGCCTAATCCCCCCCAAATCTCAAAATTCCCCTCATCAAGGAAGTCAGGAGCAAACCATTATTTTCCACAACTTCCTGTGTTTTCTATTCCCTTTTCCTCGTATTTCAATTATCCTGGGTCCCTTTCATCACCAAAAGACCCTAAGTCGCCTGGGTGACCCCACCACACTGCCCTGGGTCCCCGCCGCCTGGGTGAAAAAACGCATGGATGGTGGAAAGAGACTGTGACGGCCCTGGAATTAGCGATCTCCACACTTTCTGAGTAATCTCTAAGAGACAGCGCTGTCAAAATGAAACACAACGCAGCCCAAAAATGGACTATAATTAGAGGTTTCCTAGTAACCACATGAGGGAAACCCAAAAAGAAACTTATTACATGAACTATGGGAGCCAGTATGTAAAAAATATGATTATTGCAACAAATAACCAATGTAAAATTAGGTGTGTCCTTCGCATCTTCCAGACTTCTTTGACCTGGCCCCTCTCAGAGGTCAAAAGCTACCATGTGGCCGTGGCCACCGTACTGGGCAGCAAAGCTATGAGGGACCCGAAGGAAACAATGGAAGTCTGGGCATGAGCACACTTCCCAGGCACAGAGCGCAGCGGACGCCCTCAGATTTCAGAACAGCCATGTCTTTCCCACAGGCGGGAGTGCTGGCTTGTTGGCACTGCTCTTCTCCCGCTGAGCTGTGCACACAGCTGGCGCGCGTCACAGAAGGGGCCGGGGAGCTGGGCCTGCTTTTCTAAGCTGTCTGGGAAGAATGTTCCGGAGTGGATTTTAAGGGAGGAACTAAACTCCAGAGCTCTTGTTTGGAATGCAGCGTGGGGTGTCTGTCCGTGATCCCCTTCCAACATGGAACAGGATCTTCTCAGTTTCCTGGCTAAGAATCTCGTGGATTCTTAGTTATTGACTCTTCTGATCCTATGTATTTTCTTCCTTCCTTCCTTTCTTTTTCTTTTCTTTTCTTTCTTTCTTTCTTTTTCTTTTTTTTTTTTTTTCCAGTACTGAGGCTTGAACTCAGGACCCTGCGTTTGCCAGGCAAGATCCTATGTGTTTTCAGTGGGAAAAAGGGGATGTAGCTCCTGAACGTGACGACCTGGGGGGGTACGGCCACGTAGACTGTGTCTGGCACGTAGGGAGTGGCAGGCCCCAGGGACATGGATCAAGTAAAAGGACAAACATATCAGATGAATCCTAATGAAAAGAAAGTGGAGCTGCTCCACCAAGTTCAGGCAGTGCAGACGTGCAGGCAAGGAAGAACATCAGGAAGAAAACCAGGTCGACTATACAGCGACAAAAGGAGCGAGCAATCACGGCTTTGCTGCATCTTGTGTATTTGGGAAAACCCTTTCTCTGGTTAGCTCAGACGTCTTCCTGTACCACAGGTCAGCTCAGTGGTGACTGCAGGACTCACGCACCTTGTAGGTGCAGATTCGCTTTGCTCCCTTTGAGCTCTGCCAACCCTGCGCAGGGCTACGGAGGCTCTCCGCAACTCTGGATTTCTCCCTGTCCACCCCACCCCAAAGCCCCAGGTCCGTCTGTCCCTGTAATGGGACCTTTACCGCGGCCCTACAGGCTGCCTCTGGGCTACTGAAGCCTCTTTTGCTGGCACTACCAGGAGCAGAGGGTAACCAAGGACACAAACACAGAGCTCCTTTCCCGGGGTCAGGCAAACCCTGCTGTACAGGAATGACTGAAAGATACAGTGAGCACTTAAATAAGCACGTTGAGAGTGTTTTGAGGGGGGTTCATGGCACTCTGCCTTGGCTTTAATACATTTTTAAATTTAAACATTCACTGTATTTGTATTTATGATCACTTCCATCAGATGAAAACATGGCATGTCCTCATCTACCCTATTCACGGGACCTGGCATTGTGTGACTCGCGGCCCCACCCCAAGTCAAAATGACCACCAGAGGGAAACGCTCTGAGTCGATCCAGGGCATCGGGGCAGCCAGGACAGCACACTGAAGATACTCGGAGTGGACTCCAGAGCGGCAGCAGGAAGTGGCCAGGGCATGGGCCGGGTGTGCTCGACAGGAGGGGAAAGCCGTGGGCCGATTCAGCCTGTCCCTGCCACCTCCACGTGCACATCCCGAGCCACTCAGAGAATCAGGAGGTGGCCAGGCGCCGCCTGAGCCAGTACCCGTTTGTCCCCTTCCTTCCGGTCCTGTTCCCCTCTGGCTGCTACTGAGAGCTCATCTGGCGCAGCGTCGCCGCGCAGATCCCATCCTAGCACTACCGGGCGACCAGCCCAGGCGCGAGGCCTCTGACGCCCATGCCCTTGTACCCTGCCCTGCCCTGCACGAGCTGCTGTCTGCTGGGCCTGGGTGGGATTCAGAGATGCTCGGGCGGGCGCTGCCTACCGAGGGTGGCCAGCTGCTTGAAGTGGAGGCAGGCGCTCGGCTGGCCCAGCAGGTCCAGGCGGTGGTACAGCAGCTTGCTGCTGGGTACCGTGTTGAGGTTCTTCAGCTGCCTGACAGGTACTTCCGGTTGTATCACCACAATGCACAGAATGAAGGACGTGTCTTGCACCTGTAAAAATTGGGAAGGAGTTTCTAACACAAAGCGAAGCGTCTGTGGACACAAGGACATTGCTCCTGTCATTTCCTGCCATCTCTGTTCCCTCCCCTCCCCTGGAAAGTGTGTGTGAAATGGCGGAGAACAAGTGGAAGGTGTCTCTGTTGCTCACGCAGGTTATCAGCAACACACGCAAAAGTGGGGCTGGCGGCACAATGCTTCTATCTGGGCCGAAAATGTTCTTCAAAACATGCAGCTGGCTTTGCAATGATGCTCCAAGAACGTGCTATTTCACAGTCCAATTCTGAATCCTCGCATAGGGGAAACATTGGCAGCTGATGCAGAATCCAGTCGTTGCTTGGCTGGCAGGGCACGAAGTGGGTTGCGCTGGCGGCACACAGGCTCGCCGGAGGCGCAGTGACAACCCTGCACAGCTGACCGCCTCCGCCGCAGGCTGCCCGGTGTCCAGCTTCAAGTCCAGCTCTGTGGAGACCCGAGCTCTTTCAAATTCTCTTTTCTCCTGGAGACTGGTGTTGCAGTAAGTTTCGGCGAGGAGAACAGCTAAAGCCAATCAGCAAGCGGCCACAGACACAGTGGTAGTGCTAGAAGACCACTACAGAGCCCAGGGTCCCTGCCACCTACTGACACCGTGTGATGGCATCATGCAGTGGGGCACACGTCTGTGGTGGCTCTTGTGTGACCCGTCACACAGGTAAGGTGGAGTAACACAGCCCCGCATGGCACACAGCACTGCATGAGACACGCAGCTGTGAGCATCCAGGACGTGGACTTGGGCAGCACCGCTGGGAAAGAGGGTCTGTACGTAAATGAGAAGGGCGAGGACCAGCAGGCGAGGCCAGGAGTGAGGGACGGTGCCCTGTTGAGCTGCCCAGCTGGTTTCCTCAGTGACACGCTGGGCAGGCTGTGATCAGTGAGCTCAGAGTTTCTTCGAGAGGCTGCAGAGCCTTTAAATACAGAAGCAATGTGTGTCCCTAGACTGCCTTTGAGTCCTGCTGCAGCAGAACAGCAGACGGGATCCTCCTCTTCCTCCTGCACACCGAAGGTCTCAGGCATGGGACAGCGGCCTCTGCTCTTGTCTCAGTTGTCACTGCCTTGAGTTTTGCTATGTTACAGGGTCCCCGAGCCAGGAAACAAAGCCCCATCAGAGCGACCAGAATATAGTTCTGTAATTGGGTCTCTTCTAGAAGAGAAAAAAGCTACCCTACGTGTCAAAAGGTAACAATTTAAAGTAGTCCCCAGGAGGACATGCTAGGTCTTCACATTCCTGTTCTTAGCTGGCAAATGTCCTGTTTGAAGAGGAACGGTGCTGACATTTCCAAAACGCTCCTGAGAGAAGCGCTTTGTTCAGGACGCACTCGGGGACCCCATACTCCCCTACTTCGCAACAGTCGGTCCTTCTGTCGTCAGGTGGCCTCGTCAGAGGCTCACGGCGGACCTGGCTGTGCAGCGCTACAGCAACCTCCCGATGTCCATCACGTAGTCTCCCAAGTCTGGGTCCCAAGTCACACCCAGATGTGGCCAGGGGTGCAAGCCACGCCCACTGCTGTCTACAGATGCAAGGCAGGTTAGCCACCTGCTCAGAGCACCAGCGAGCTCTGCCTGGGTTGTATCATGTATCAGTAAGAATCCGCTCCTGGGGACAGCCGAAATATATGCTCTCCCCTTTAAGTAAGGAAAGCCTAAAAATATCTGCCCTTGTTCACAGGCAGCCAGGCAAGCTATTCTCATCTCAGATCTCAGCACTAGCTTAATTTTTCACTTAGCAGTGTCTGCTTGGCAATTTCAGAACTCTGACAAAGCTTCTCCCCGAAGAGACTGCATCCGACCTGCCATGGGACAGTGGCCAGAACTTAGCATATGTCTGCGAAGAAGGCTCTCGGAAAGTAACACTTCTTTCCAGAGTAGTGACGCCGGGTCTATTCACTGCACAAAGAAGGCCCATGAGTGCCTACATTTTCTTTTTTCTCTTTCGAGGCCCTGCCAAGGTGTAACTGAGTCGTTTACAGAGGCAAACAAGCTCGGATTTCAAATACAAGTGACTACTTTGAGCTAAGGATTTTGGTGTCGGGCTTACCCTTTCTGATGCAGAAGTGAAACAATTAATTTTTAACAATTATATGAATCCAAAGATAAAGGCAGCTGGTGCTGTATTCTCCGGGGTAAAGAGCACTATAATAAGGAATGGTGGCTAATACTAACCTCCAAAGAGACGATTCCTTTCCTCAAATTTCTATTACTGAACAATGAACTCTTACAGAACTGCTTATAAGTATAAACTTTCAAATACTTTCACTTTTAATTATTATTATTAGCTTTCATTTGTTTACCGGTTAGTTGGCACTGCCAGAATGGTACTGTAAGAGCCAAAGGGGGCTGGAGGAGACAGAGGAGAGGGCGGTGGCTGGCTGCCCGCGCCTGCGCTCCTGCCCCGGACGCCGAGGCCGCGTGGGGCTGCGCTGAAGGCGGGAGGGAGCCTGCCGCGATGATTCCACCTTACGGGACGGTTCAGGGGATGCATCGGCAGCCACGGCTCTGGCTGCCACGGTACTCCCGTGGAGGACTGCACCTGCAGTTTACGGATCACAGTCGGACGACACAAACGCAGTCTTCCTTGGGTCAGTTACAGGTCGCAGGGCCCCACAAGGGCATTGCTGGGAAGGGCAGGCGTGGAGCGGTCACAGCAACGCGGTCAGTGCTGTGGGATCCGCCGAGGCCCAGCCGCGGAATGAGGCCGGTAAGAAAAGCAGCAATGGGAGTCTCGTTTATCTCGAGGCAGGATTGCGGCGAAGTCACAGCGTCCCAGGCTGAGCTCGGGCTTGCGATCCTCCAGGTCGGCTTCTGACAGCGGAGTGCGTGTGGCACCTGCGCGACCTTTCGCCTCCTTATTTGTAATGCCTAAATCCCGTAATCTGAGTTTGAATGGCAGAAAGAACACACATGGGTGTGGCCCACAGCAGCAGAGGGCTGCGTGCAGGAACGTGCACTCGCTGCATACAGGGACGAGCGCCGGCAGGCAGCAAGCGCGCGCGCGCAGACACACGGACTCTGGAAACGACTCCAGTGGAACCGGCATCAGCGGAGGGGCGGGAGGGAAGGGCGCCGTTTACTTTCCGTTTCACATTCTCTTACACAGCTTGGGTGCCTCATCGCGGGCAGTTACTGGTTAAAGGAGCAGTCTGGCGTAGGCGGGAAGTGCCAATCACCTGCACTGCCGCGCGACCTCAGCCCCGAGCCCCACCGTCCGTCCCCGCTGCCCCGGAGAGCGCCCACGCACCATCTTCCAGGCGTAGCTGACGTTGTAGGCCTCCTTCCCCGCCTCCCGCAGCTTGTTGATGTGCCAGGACAGAGACGAGTTCACCGGGACCGAGATGATCTGGCTGCCCAGGGGGAGGCTGCGCAGCAAACAGAGTTAAAAGATAAAACGCGCTGTTCCCAGAGTCAGGCGAGCAGCTGCGGCCCCTCCGGATTTCTGAACAGCCGTGAAAGGCTCGGCTTTTGAGGGGCACAATGTGAGGCTTCAGTTTGGCCAGGGCATGCACCAGCACCGCAGGCCTGCACCCCAAGTCTAATTCCTCCCCAGCTGGGCCCCATCTCTCAGTCATTAATATTCAATCAGCAGGTACAAAGCCCCAGGCTCCACAGCTTGCCCGCGGGCCCAGCAGCGGGACACAGGCCGCCTGCATTTACTTGGGGAGGAAACGCTGGTCGGGACAGCGCTGTCAAACCCGGGAGGGGCCGAAGCACTTTCTGGCAAATGTGGCAGCGCCAGTCCTTTGCTCAACCCCTTACATTGCTGATTATTTCTAGTTTGGTATAACCACAGTATTTTAAAAAATGAGATAATCTATAGCTTGCTTTATGATAATATGAACATCAAGGATGATTTACAAGACTTAATAGCACGTAGTCATTCTGAGCCCTGCTCTGCTATAAGCCAAGAAAGTCTTAGCTACTGTCCTCATGGAGAAGGTGCTCAGGGTACTCTGATAGCAGTAAATAATCATAAACTTGTCCTGTATCCTGTGGGAAACCCTTACCTGCACTGTGATAAAAAGCTACACTGAATGTTTAATTAAAAAACCAGCATTATAGTCAATGACACACTGCCATTCATCTCAAAGCCCCTCCTCCTCCCTTGCACTCCCGTCCCACGGTGCGGGCCATGTCCTGCCACAGCTCCGGTGTCCTTTCCCTGAGGTCTTTGGCCACGCTGTCCCCGCTGCCTCTATATCCTGAACCATTCTGAAAACCCCCCTTTCCTGATCACTCCAACTGTGGGGAGAAGCCTGACGTTGCCTGGCGCCTGAGCCAGTGAATAAGGCGGATGAGGGCAAAGTGCTGAGTTTTTACTTAACAAAAAGGGCCGTAAATGCTCGAAAACAAAGGTAGTGAGAATGCGGCCAACACCTGAGTAAATCACAGCATCATGCAGCCCCTGCAAGATGCAAACGCTCTCACCGTGCCTACCCTGCGCTTCTCTGTCATACGGTTCATTAAAAACTGAAGCCTTCCGCACGCTTTTGTGATCACCGCATATCTGACCTCAACAGGCCCCTCTCAGAAGCAAGAACCACCAGGACCCGCACCTTCTTACCTGAGGATATTTTGCCGAACCAATTCAAACTTGGGGATGTTTTCATAGTGGATGATGTCCGTGTGGAGGGGGGGCTCGGAGAGCAAGTACGGCCTGGTGAGAGACGGGTGCATGAGCGTGTAGCCTGGAAGCGGAAGCAGAGTGCGTATGAGACCCGCCGCCATGGCCTCGGCCCCTGAGCCCACGGCCCCGAGTCCACAGCCCCACAGCCGCCAAGCCCAGAGCGGCTTCCCAGCGCCGCTGGCCGCCCAGCCCCTCCCTACCCGGCCTGCTTCCGCAGTGGAGACTGAGGCGTGAGTTATTGAGAATATTTGGGCCATGTTGGCTTTCATTTTGTGAAATTTTCTAATTGGCTATATAAGCCTTAACGCCATAAATCTAAAGTTAACAACAGAAACAAACATGTGGCCACATCAAACCATCAGCTGCATCCCACCTGCAGGTTAAGCTTTTTTTAAATCGTTGCTGCTGCCTACATTAATATTATAAGAAAAAATATAAAAGGTAAGTGTTGAGGTATATATGGATTATATTTTACATGTGGTCCTAAACAATTTCTCATTATTCAAAAGGCAAAAGAAAAAGAAAGGTAAGCTGTAGACTGGAGGTGGCCAACAGACCATCTTCCTTTCTTCTGTTCATTCAACTCTGAGCACAGGTTGGATTTGAACTCAGAGATCCTTCTGCTTCAGCCTCCCAGGGATTACAAGTGCGTGCCACCACGTCCAGCCAGGACCACATGCTGTGTGTTATTCATTGTTGCCCACCCTCCACATAGCACAGAACTCTGCCCGGGGTCTTCCTGCTATTCTGCTGCACACGAATGGTCCTGGCCACCTGCTTTTGTTTAAATGGCATGTCTATCCTGCTTCATCTGGTGGCCCGAAGAGCACTACAGGTCGCTCTGTGGGCAGTGGAGGGAGCTGCTCCTCCCGTGAGGCCCAGCCCCTTACCTTTGTTGTCTATGAGGAACGTGTAGGAGGCCACAGAGTCTTGGTAATAGGTCACATCTTCCAGGATGTAGGCCAGGTTCACATCCACACCCACGATGCCCAGCAGGAGGTTTCCGAAGTAACAGGGCTTACTCACAGTCATTATCAAGCCTGTGGGATAAAAACCACCTCTAAGAGCTGGACAGGAAGGCTCTGCAAAAAACCTGGCCACGTGCCCTACTGAACCACACAAGCTAGGATCAGCCTCTTGGCTCTGCTTGGGAGAAGAACGTGTATGACCCAGGAGCCGCCCACAATGCGTTAGCCAGACAGTCGGGGTGAGAACAAAACGCTCAGTGATTGTCTAGATTTAAGTATGTACTAGAGCCAAAGATGCGCTGCCACTTGCGCCCCTCACTTTGAGCCCACTCGCGCCATCGTTCTTCCACTTCTGCGGCAGCTCTTGGTTGCTCTTTCTTTCTAATCTTATTTATTTGGTACAGGATCTTGCTATGTAGTTCAGACTCATAGTGACCCTCGCGTCTCAGTCTCCCAAGCGGGGCCAGCACAGCATGCGGTACCAGGGATTGAACCTGGGTCCTTGTGCTTGCCAAGCAGGTGCTCAGACCGCCAAGCTACCTCCCCAGTCTGGAGTGCTCTTTCTTGAGGGTCTTTATGAGGTGCGATCAAAACCACATTCAGCAAAAAGGCAGCTTCTACAAATGTGACTGTGTCTTCGATCACTTATCCACTGGATCTGGCACCGCATGACTTCCGGCTTCTCCTCAAAGTCAAGATGACAGGCAAGGAAACGTTTTCAATCGATCCAGGACCTCAAGGCAGCCAGGACAGCTCAGCTAAAGCCCCTCAGGACGGAGACGCCAGAGCGGCCGCAGGAAGACGCCGGGAGGTGGGGCGGGTGTGCAGAGAGGAGGGGCAGCACTGTGAGGCGGAGCATCAGCAAGGCGTCTTTCACTGGCATCAGTTTTAATCTAAACATTCACCATGTTTTGTGACCACCCTCCTCGCACCCGAGGTGAGCTAGAGTGGGGTGACGGGTCTTTCGGCAGCTCCGACAGCACCCTGCAGTCAAGCAGAGGCCACAGGACAAGGATGTGGAGATCTGAGGTCTCCGCCAGCTGGTGGCACCGCAGGACTTCTCTGAGCCCTCCCTACACGTGTCTAAGGGACACAGTGGCAATGGCTTTCCCAGTTTCTAGGAGACTCGACGGAGTCTGGAAAGGAATTGCTCCAGGGCACCACTCACCTGACCACTGAGGCACTGGGAAGACAGGAGGTGCATTTTAGAAAGGGACGGAACCCCCACGGGGAAGCTAGAGTAACTGCCGGACAAGTCAATGGTCTGAAGTGTGTCCAGGTAGGCCAGGTGTCCCTGCTTTTGCGGACTGGGCCAGAGTTGGGGCATGTCAGGTTTTGTGAGTCTCAGTGCATATTCTGTTTTTGGTAACATTTTCATCCCCACACATAACCACGTTAGCTCACAGGCCATACACAGCACTGGGGTCATCAAGGAAAAGGAAGAGAATGCACAGGAGGGAAAGCCTGAGATGGCGAGGGCATGACCCTGAGCCCTGGACGCCCGGGCTCTCTGGGCCGCCTCGAGGACCAAGGCTTGGCAGGGACCAGATGTGGGCTGAGACGGCACGGCCCCCACTGCCCGCCTCAGAGCGCCAGTGTGGGACCGCAGACGCGGACACGGAGGTCTGTCTCCAGCGGATCTGTGTCCCCGCCCTGGAGGCTGATGGGGAAGTGGGCACCTCACTGAGTGTCTGGGACAAGTTCCCCCATGGGGGTCCCTGCTAATTTTAGGAGCATTCTCTAGGCAAGTTACATTTAGAACGCCTACTCTCTGCTTTAAAACACTGGAAAGAAACATGCTTATGAAGGTCCTCAGCATACATTGCAGGTGGTTTTTGCTCAGGTCTCTTGGGCAACAGGCTGCAAGGGTGAAGGCCGGCTGGGGGAGAGGTCCCCTGAGGTGGGCCACACTTCCCTGGGCCTTTCTGGAGACCACATTCTTCCCACTGCAGCTTGGGGATCGAGCCAGGGCTCCGCCGCAGCTGAGCTCACCCTCACCCCAACCAGGGCCCTAATCTGGATCAGTAAAGCACAACCGAAGTACCCGGGACCAAGAAACAGGCTCATTTCAAATTCCTGCTCTTCTCTGGATTCGCTGAGGATACAGTGTTAAAAGAAAAAAAAAAAAAAACAAAAAAACCCTACAGAAACACACTCCAACTCCTCCACTGGCCACCCAGACAGCAGACTCTCTTCGGTGCCACTGTGGCAAACGGAAGGATGTGAGCTCCTGCCGCATGGACACAATCCTCAAGTGTTCCACCTTGACCTAAAGCACACAGATTTGCCATTTAACAGAACAAAATGCCCAGCATATGCTAGTTTAATCTGTGGTGGCTTTGAATCAGAGCCAGGTGAGCCTGCGTCTCCTTGTGCTGACACCACATGTGGAGGGTGTGTCACCCAAGTGCTTCTGGGGGCTAGACACACAGAATGAAAAGTCACACTATCAGGTGGAGCCTGCACAGCTTTAAACAAACCCAGGACCAGAACCCACTGCATGGGACGCAGAATCGAGGCTAACGGACGAGCGTTTACACTGGCCAAAGATGATCACAGCTCTGCACAGCCTGAAGTTGAAAAGGGGCCTCCTCTTCTCTAATAACAGAATCCAGCTGCTAAATCCCGACTTTCTGCAGGCCTGGCCTCGGCACAGAGGCGGCAGGACTTCCGATCTGTCCCTTCGCAGACACGAGGTGTGTGCCTTGTCCCTACTGTGCGGCATGCTGTGGACTCCTGAACACAGCAACAAAATGCTAGATTCATGCTGCTGGTGAGCTCCTGGTGAGCACTGTCTAGGACGTGGGGAAAGGAGTCAGCAGGAACACGAGGAAGAAAAGGAGAGGCAGGCACCACCACCCCTGTGTGGTGCGACTGCACTCAGCCTACGCAACTGTCTTGGGGAAGTGGATTCCCCATCTTTTAGGTTGAGAACTTGAGTCCCAGGAGAGTTACGCCCTTTTCCTGACATCATATTCCCAGTAACTTCAGTATTAGGCCGATGGCACCAGTAACAAGGAGATAGACAAAGGTATGTATTCAAGAATAGGGTGACCACAGTCAGGAACAGCACGGGGTTAAGGGACGCCTGCCATGCAAAAAAATTTTTGTCTTTTGTTTTGAGACAGGGTTTCACTATGTAGTTCAAGATGGCCTCAGCCATCTTGTAGCCCAGCCTCAGCCTCTTGAGCGCTGGGATTAGAGGCGCACATCACCACACCTGGCTACATCAAAATGTTGTATGTAATCTAATTAATCCTGAACGCCTGGAGGATTTACTGCCCCATTTGACAGAGGACCAAATGGAGAGCTGGTGAGATTATGTAAGTCACAGAGACAACAGACTGGGTTGTGACAGTTCATCCATGCCAGGCTACTCAGTGACACCCCACCTTTGAGGAGGGATCCTAAGGCCATCTGAGCTTTATTTACCACTTAGGATACAAAGCCACCTATGAGTCCCAGCTGAACTAAGCGTGGTCACTGGTAAGCCCTCAGGAGCCTCAGGCCTGAAGCCTGTGTGCCCACTGTGGCCAGGGCAACAGGAAGGACCAGGTGGGGACCTCTGCCCTCCGCGACATCACCGTGAGAGGACAGAGGGTGCTGCAGCCCAGGCTGAGGGAGGGTGGCCCCATCCCCCATCTCCCTTCTTCCCCACGGGCCAGAAAGCCCCCTCCAACTCACCATCTCCCATCTCGTCTGAGAAGGGCAGGCTGAAGACGGCCTCGTCGATCATGCGGTTGGGCAGGTTGGTGTAGAACCTGCCCACCGTGGTCTCCAGGTTACTGAGCTGGTTCAGCACCATCATGCTGCCCTTCATCACGGGCAGCGCGCTGCGGTCCGGCACGCCGTACTTGCCCGAGTTCTGCTCGGCCAGGTCCCGCAGGAAAGCCAGCTCCTTCAGGCCAGTCACCCCATCTGAAAGCACAGCCACACACTCACCAGGCCACCCACCTCTGGGAGAACAATGGTTGCAGGGACTGCAGGGACAATGGGAGCTTGGGACAGAGACGGCGTCTCCTGCGAGGAACAGACCCAGCGTGGCTGTCTTCACAGCAGGCGGGTGCAGGAGTCTTCAAGGGTAACGGAGCTACATCTGCTGAGGCCCTGCTCGCCCCAAAAAGTTTAATTATAAGATCTGAATTCCTTTGCTGCACTTAATATGTGAAAGCGAAAGTACTGGTTAACAAGCCTGCATTTAATTTAAAGTGGTAGATGAAACTGCATGAGCTTTAAAGGGTAGACGTTTACCGTTTCATTCTTTCTTTGCTTGTAAAACCACTAGCCAGATTCTTGCGCAGCTAAACGAAAGAATTATGGTTTGCATTTACTGATGGGCTTCACCCTCATTTTTGAAGCTCATTTTAATTACAAATGTTTCCACCCTTTGTATTGTTAGGATAATATTGAATTTGACTTATTTAATGTATATTTTTTATATTTTGGGGTTTTGAAAACTTTGCAAAAGATTTAGTCAGATGGGTATGTACAGTTCAATGACATCTGTAACCTATAGTACAAAAATAATTTAATAAACCATCGTTTAAAGTTTGCTTTTGGGGGCCTGGCCCTAGCTCAGTTCTTTAAGTGGCTGCTTCCACCAAGCTGTCAGCCTCAGGTGGCTCTAGTTCCATCCCCACAACTCTCCAGCCAGCCAAACAAGCCCTGAGGGCATTCGGAGCAAAAAAATAAATAAATAAATAAAGTTTGCTGTTGTTGGAACACAGTCAAAAGGATTAGTAACTGATCTCATATGGGTACCACTGTAAACAAATTCAAATGACTTTAGTTACTATGGAGACCCTGCCCCTGCATTTTAAGAAGTTTTGGCCTCATATTCTTGGAGATTAACAGCCAGCCACGAAGTGCTCAGACATTAGAAAGACTGTGGTCTTCACGGCTCACTGACCGTATGTGTCTCTAACCGAGGTACCCGTTCCCACCGTCAGAAGTCTGTTCCTCAAGTAGGGCCAAAATTTAATGGATGCATTTTCTTTCTTCAAATACCACAGTTAGATAAACTCAAGGTTTTACTACTCTTGTGCAGTGCTGAAGAAATGGAACGGCACCTTGGCTGAGGAAGTCGGATGCGGATCCCTGCCCCCCTGCCCAGCCTAGCGCTGAGAGACCAGCGAGGCAAGCCCCATCCCTGACTGCACACCCTGGAGAGGCTCAGAAGGGGATCGGAGCAGGCAGCAGCGCTGGCTGTGGGCATGCTCCCCTCCTGTGCCAGGCATTACTGTACTTGGCTCTTGTAACATGTAAGAGGTGACAAGTAAAAAGATCTTCTAGCAAAGCTGAGGACTGTGGGACAAAGGGTCAGAAAGCGCTGCATTTCCTGGTCACTATCCTGCAACGTTATACAGGCTGGCTGCAGAGCTGGGATGGCAGATAGGTAAGAAGGCCGGGCCGTCCACAGCCAGTGGCCACGCCGGGAATGACCACTCCTAGAATCTTCCTGGGCAGATGCGTTCAAGTTCAGGATGTCAGGAGTCACATATCGCACGGAAGGAGGGCGAAGGATGAGGGCCCGCCTGCCGGCTCATCGCGGTCTTCTCTCCCTGGCCTTCAGGCCTCCCTGTGGGCAGCAGCCTGCTGACCGAACTGTCTCTGTGTTGTGTCCTCTAGGAGATGGCCCACTCGGGACTTTTGCTTCTCCAGGTTGTCCCACAAATGGTGCATTCTAGGTCTGACGATAAATTCTCTGTCCCAGCATTCAAGTGGTTCTGCTCCCTGACTCACCCCCAGTGACCTGGTTAGTGGTTGGGGAGTGCCTCCTCCCTATCGAGCAGGATGTGGAGCTGCTCCCTGGTGACTTTCCCTGTGAAATGGGGGAGGGGAAAGGGGAGGGAGAGAGGGGAGGGGCAGGGGGAAGGGAGAGGGGAGGAAGGCGCAGGAGGGAGTGCCAGAAGCGGGCTCATCTGGCACAAGTGCACGAGAGCCTCTGTGGGCCGGGGAGACAGGTGGCAGTGAGGGGACAGGTGACAGCAGGAAGCTTTCCTCGCAGTCTCTATCACAGGACCATCACATCTCAGGGAGGAGGAGGAGCCGTGGCTGCTGCTGGGCCTCCTCAAGCCCCAGCATGTCTGTCCATCTGGCGCGTCTCTGCATCTTGAGGAAGGGGAACTTGCATCTGGCAGCCCTAAAGCCTCACAGTGGCGCATGCTGAAGGTGCTGGTGGAATTCCTTCCCTCCCGCCTTCCCTCCCTCCATGTAAGTGAAAGGAGGTAAGTGAAAGGAGCTCAATCACAGGAGAAAGGAGCAATCTGAGGCCAGAGACAGCCTGAAGGGTGTGTGTGCCCTGAAGGGTGTGTGTGGTGGGGGAGGGCAGTGTCCTCAGGACACAAAGAGGCAAGGTGCATGCTCTTGAGGAAGGCCGGGGCAGGGAGGATATCTCACGGCCCCCCAGGCAGCCCGGTGGAAGACGTGGTCATCCCAGAGAGGCCCAGCTGGGGATGGAGCCGGGCAACCACAGTCCCCTTCTCTTCTCCAGCAGGCCTTGAAGTCCTGAGGTTTTCTGCATTCCTTGTTAACAAGGACCCAGACACATCCTACAGCGCAGGACCTAAGTCCCAGCTCTGTGCACTAGAGGAGTGCTCACGGCACAAGTAATGACTTGCTAAGCCACGCTGCTGGAAGGGCAGCGGGACTCCCAGCACACACAGCAGGGCCTGGGGGCCATGGGTATGTTCTCTAAATTTGGGCAGAGTGAAGATCCCAGAGCCCAGGTCCTCCCAGCAGAGCCTGCGCAGGAGGCTGGCCCCTAAGATCTTCATCTTCAGAGCAAATTCCTTTAGCACAGGAAAACCGAGACCCGCAGCCCTGGCTGCACAGGGAGACTGGGGAGTGGGGAAGTGAGCAGCGATGGCTCCTTGTGACCCGAGCGTGAGGCCGGAAGGGAGACAGGGGAGAGCGTCCAGCATGTGCAGACAGTGGTCAGGCAGGGGTGGGGGGACGGGTTGGCAGTGGTGGAGCAGCAGTGTTTCTATGAATTGACTGATTGGCTAAACTCGTTCACAAGCGGCACCACAAAGAAGGAAACGGATCAGCACCAGGGCCGCGGAGGGCGAGTGGCTCCAGCAGGCAGGCAGCAGGGCCGAAGCCGCGGTGTGTGTATGCCGGGCCCCCAGCGCGCGGTTCATTCTGTGCTCATGTTCTGCATGAGGCTCTCTGTGATGCTGAACCATGTTACTGCCACAGGAAGCTTGAGGAAGGGGCTGGGGACGTGCTGCCACTGACAACTGCCCATTGTTTCCAGTTGAAAAGTTTAAATGAAAAAAATTACTGCTGCTTAACAGTAACACTGTGGATCTGAATGAGGACCCGGCCAGCGCTGTCCCGTGTGTGCGGAGCGCTCTGGTCCACCCCTACCCCACGCTGCTGGAGGGAAGGTGACTGTCACCACATTGGTGATGGGAAGGATATGGGATGGCGCCCTGCTTCGTGCAGCTGGGACCCACGAGCCATGCTCACAATCTCCACACGGTGCGGACACTGAGGCAGCCCAGGCTTCGAGGGAGAAAGGGGAAAGCTGAGGGCCGTGCACACCTGGAGGGGTGCGGACGCAGACAAGGCTGGGCCTGAGCAGCAGCGGGCTGGAGGAGAAAAGCTCCTGCAAGGCCCTGAGCGCCGGCCCCAGGAACAGGAAGAGCCCGCCTCCCCGGCAGCCTTCACCTAGCATACTTGGCTGTCTCCTTCCTGTTCACCAAGCAGCACCCACTGACAGGGAGCTTTCATCTGAAGGAAGAATCTTGAGGATTTCTGGCTGGCTCAGGCTGCCTTACGGGCGGGTCTGGTGTGGCCTGCACCTGACTGAGTTTGCCCAAGCAGGCGCGTTAAACAACTGAGCTAACCTGCAAGCTCCCGAAGGAAGAACCTCTACGTGCTGCCTACCGTTCATGAGGGCGTAGGTGAGGATCATCACCGAGTTGTTCAGGAAGCTATTTTCCTCATTGATGACACGGAGAGTCGCCTTTTTGTCCTCCTCTGGGGAGTCCTTTGATGTGGTGCCTGCCGACAGGTAGATGATGACCATGTCTGTGTCTACACAAAAGCACACACGGGTTACACTGAGGTTTGCTACAGGCAGCTGGCCGCCCTGCCCCTAGCATCTGCTGGCCTGAGCATCTCACTTAAGCTTCAGATTATAAGAGAACACACCAATGAATCAATCTGCCCATTCGCTGGGGACAAACCCTGATAGCACGTGACAAACCCCGCCTTCCCCCAAAGGTACCAAGTGCAGTGGACTCCTGAACCCCCCTGAGCCCCCCCAGGGTGCCCTTGGGGTTTCCTACCAGGCCCTGATTCTAGAGGCCAAAAGCCGTCCCGTGAGTGAGCTGCTCTTGGTGGGGCTGCAGCCTCCCAGCTGAGTATCCTCTGTGCATCTCCGAGAGCTGCGCCCCGACCCCAGCCAGGCCCCCTCCTGGTGCTCGCAGCAGCCAGGGTCGTCAGCCCACCTTCTGCTGTCAGCACCATCAAAGCGTGGTCTGGCTCACGCTCTCACTGGGCTCTTCGCAGTCCCGGCTTGGCAGTCAGGCCAGGCCTTGCAACGCCCGCACCCCGGGATCCACACCCACCCCTCTCACTTTCTCAGCCACCAAAGGGATTCCCACCCAGCATCCCTCAAACACAGAACCCACAATCTAAAAGGGCGGATAGCACTGTGACAGATAACCCAGGCCAGGGCCAGAGCCACGCTAGATAAAGCTATAGATTTGGGGGCTGACACAGAGCTATAGTGATTCATGCCATGGAGCTTTTGTCTGTACAATTCCCCACGGGGGGCAGGCGGCCCACAGCCACACTCAGGCGAATCCTTGCACCATCCCCAACAGGATGGGCTGGCTGGCACTGTGGGTGACCTCACCCCATGCCACCTGAGCAGCCCCGGCACAGCTGGTGCTGAATAGCTGTCTGTGGCCCAAACAGAAACAGTAAAGCAGATGCAAACCTCGAGGAGGAATGCGGGTGACCGCCCTGCTCCTGCCAGGAGCTGGGGTTCCTGGCATCTTGGGCTTGGGGTCAACTTGGGACACATGGGGCTTTGAGGACAACAGATCTGGAGAGATCAATTAATTGACTTACACCCATGAGCTCAGAGAAGCTGCAGGGGGAGAGGGGGGATCCCCGGTGGAATCCAAACCCTGAACGCTTAGGTAAATTGCCCAGGTGGCCTCAGACTTCCAGTCCTTCTGCCTCAGTCTCCCGGTTGGCTGGGACAACAGGCCTGCGCTGCCACACTGGCCTGAAGGGCTTCTTTATGCAAACTCAGCTGGACTCTGTTCTCTGAACTTCCAGAAGCAGCTGTACGTGGGGGGCTGAGCTAAGCGCTAACACCATCTAACTGGGCCAGAACATGCCGGTGCCGAGCAGTTCCAAAGATATGCCACAAAAACACGCCTAAACCTTGGGTGGTCAGTCTTCTTGGCCTGTTTTTGTTTGCCAGTGTCAAGAAAAAGACAGTGACTGTGGTGGTGCATGCCTGTAATCCCAGCACTGGGGAAGTGGAGGATCACTGCGAGTTCAAAGCCAACCTGAATCGCATAGTGAAACCCTGTCTCGCAAAGCCCCCCACCCCAAAGCCCAGAGAAGAAGAGCCCTCACCACACCAGGATTCTGCCACACTGGAGAGAGGAAGGCGTTTGAGAAGGGGCTTGGTGAGGTCTCTGTTCACAGTTTTTAATTATGACAACCATAATCAACATTTGAGAATCGGGCCAGGGAGATGGCTCAGTAGAATAAGCGCTTCCCTTGCAAGCACAAGGGTCTGAGTTCAATCCCTGGTTCCACCAAACACAAAACAAAACAAAAAAACTTGAGAATCAATGGATTTCACACTAAAATCCAGACTTCTGGCTCTTGAAAGTTAAGATCTGGCAGCGAAGGTCCAAATCCTATACACAAGTGAGAGAAGGTGTGTGTGGCCCGCTGTAGGCATCGGGGCTTGGATCCGCTCAGTGGACCCCACACCCCATTATCCAGACAGACAACAGAACCTCATGGATGGCTAAAGGGCTGGGAAGGGAGGATGCTCCTAGCAGGGGCTGGTAGAAAATGGAACAGACCAACAACTGCCCTTCCAACCTGAATACAGGAGGCCAGCTTTGCCAATATGGGGTGCAGTGACTGTGCAGTCACCCCACCACCTTGGCCTGCAGGGTGCTGGTTGAGGCTGCAGTGAGGCCCTCCGAGGATGCAAAGGCCCCAAGCCATGGGGTAGCATCCGTTCTGCTCAGCCATAAACAGAGGGGCCTACGGGACTTGGCAAGGGGATCCCTCTGGGGCCATGTGCCACCTGGCAGACATAGCGAGGGTCCTTACTTGGCTGGTTACGGTGAATCCCTCGGGAAGGAACCCAGTCCATGCATAAAGGACAGCAGCTCTGCTCTCATCCAGGGGCCATGCCTTCCCAGAAGTCAGGCCTGGAGCAGGACACGGGCTGTGGGGGTGCATTGGCCCACACCCGTGGGAGTGGGGCCTGGACTCCCCACACTCAGGAGCTGTGAAGTCATCAACCCACCTTCTTCAAGCTGCCACCTCATGGTCTGCTTTTACGAAGACAAAGCTAACGGCCCCTCCCCCCATGGAGACAGTAGGCCTTTTCCTCCCTCCTTCCTGGCCTTGTGGGTACACACAGGAGCGCAGTGTGTCCTCCAAGTGTGTCTCCACAGGACACGCTCCTGTCACCACAAAAGGAAAGATGCTATACACAGATTTTTGAAAATAAAAAGGAAAACGAAATCGATTCCTTGCTGCAGTTTCAAAGCACGGAGTCCCATTTCAAATACGCTTTCCTCTCCCTTCGCATGCATCCTAATTCCAGATTTCTTTAATACATGAAAATTAAATTAGCGTGCCTTTGTACATCGGAGAGCCCTGCTCAGCCGGGCGACAGCTGGCAGGACAGGATCAAGGCAAGGATTCCCGCTGCCCCCTGAGTGGAGGCAGCTACCCTGTCCAGGCAGCCGAAGCTGGCGATTAACATTAAAAAGGATGTGTCAATCCCTGGGGGAAGGAGCCAGGGTTCCTTCCTCACAGGCGGGCAGAACACAGGCTCTGGGAGTCCACAAACACACAAGTAAGCTGCAAGGAATGGCGTCTGCTCGGGAAGCACGAGAGAGGCTGGTGGGCTGTCGGCATGGCAGTGTGCAGCGCCGAGGCTGGTGGGCTGTCGGCACGGCAGTGTGCAGCGCCCGCCCCTCTCCCAGGTGTCTGAGGAGGGAAGGCACCTACTCGCTTGGAACTTGGTGTTGTTGTTTGTGCTGCGAATCAACTGGAATGCCTTCTGAAAGCCGGCCGCGTGCTGTGTGGGGCTGTCTGAGGCCTTGACACCACTGACGAAGGTGGACATCTTCCTTTTCGTCTCACTGGTGGCCGGGGACAGGAAGGTTTCGTAGCACTGGTCCAGAGAGCAGGTCCTGACGGTGTCTGCCACAGTTAGTACAGAAATCTGCAGGGCAGCGCAAGACCACAGCAAAAGCTTGTTATCCCATCAGTCAAGGATTTTTTATTAGAGATGGAGTCTCACTACATTGCTGGGGCTGGTCCCTGGGCTCCGGGGCGCAAGCAATCCTCCTCCCCAGCAGCTGGATATACGGGTGTGAGCCCGCATACCCAGCCAGGGTTTTCATGGCATGGAAGAGACCACCAGGGAAGACTCTAGGATGCTCCCTGAACTTAAAATTGATCACCAGGAGGCATCAATCCATCAAGTTAGCAGGGTCTGTCAGTAAGGGGAGGGCACCCAAAAGTTTGGTTTTTGTTCCAGAATGAGGTAGTGACATAGCACTCATGTTAAGGAATCCCAGCAGGCGCCGGCCAGATAGCTCATCAGATTAAGGTGCCTGCTTAGGCAGATGCAGGGACTGGGATTTGATCTCCGGCGTGCTCCCACCTTCCATGCGCACTGAGACGGGGCGTGGTGGCGCGCACCTATAACCCCAGCTCTTGGGAGGCTGAAAGCAGGAGGATCACTATGAGTCCGATCTGTGTAGTGAGACCCTGTAGACTCTACTCAATACATAAAAAATAAATAAAAGAAACCCCAGCAGATATTTTAAAAAGAACAGCAACAAATTCATGTAGAGAAAAACCTTAGCAAGAATTACTCATCATGGACTGGGGAGATAGCTCAGTGGAATAAGTGCTTGCCTGGCAAGCGCAAGGTCCTGAGTTTGATCCCTGGTAGCACCCAAAAATAAATAAATAAAAATTATCTTGTCTTTTGAACTGGAATTGGTTGTGAATGTAGGGTGTGTGTGTGTGTGTGTGTGTGTGTGTGTGTGTGTGTTTTAAGCAATTGGATTAGTGAGTTGGGAAAGCCAAAATGAAAAAGCAGAACATATGGCACGCTGCATGTGACCCTCAGCACCACATGTGCCCTTGGAGTGTACCCTGGGGTCCGTGCCTTTAAGCTGTGCCTTTGCCCCACTTTGGGCCAATCTGGGACAGAGACCCGCCCAGCTGCTCCCGCCTCTGCATGGCTCAGCTTCCGGGGGAGTCTATGCTAACAGAAACCTGAACCCAGGACTCACAGGCGACTGCCCGTGGTGCACATCACGACGGTGCTGTCCCACGTGAGAAGAAACACTAAGCCATGGCCCCTCCCCAAAACCATGTCACAGAGGAACTGAAGAAAAGGCACAAGCCTGGGCCACGTGAGGAGGTGGATGTGTCCTGAGACAGGACGGCAGGCAACCCTGCCTGGAGGAACCTGGGCACCCTCCCTGCGCCTCCTAACCAGGACGCCCTACCTGCAAGTCCCCAGTGTTGCCTGCTGGGTGACCAGGAGGGACAACCTTGGGGCCCATGCAAGTGCTGCCCCGTAGCATACCACTCGATGGCACGAAACAATGAAGCCACCTGAGGATAGCCGCCTTGGAGGGGGCGCTGGGTGACAGTTACCTTGTCGTGCTCGTCAATGGCGCTGAGGATGACCTGCGCGGCGTCCTTGGCAATCTGCAGCTGGGTGTCAGTAAGTGAAGCCCCGTGGTCCAGGACCACGACAATGTGTTTGGACTGCGGCCGGACGGTGGACACATAGATGGGTCTGGAGGGAAAGGGGCTCCTGTCAGTCCTGCCTTGTGGTGAAGGGCTCGGCACACGTAGCTGGGGATGTGGTGGTGTATGTGCGCGTGTGCCGGCATCCACGTGTGCAGGGCTGGGGCGGCTGGCGCGGAGGAGAAGCCGGTGCAGGGCAACATGGCCTTCACACAGCGACGCGAGGCTGCTGGGCGTGCTGGCCTCGCACCCTAAAGATGCACGCACCGGGACAACTTTTAAGAACCAAGCTTCTGGGGAGGGTGACAGCACCCTGCACCTCTGCGCGGCAGTGTTGGTTTCCCTGCACCACTCCGTGGCAGGAAACGAGCTGGCCGCCCTGGGCGGGAGGGCGGGAGCTTTTTCTGGGCCTGGGTTCTCTACACCCAGAGCGAGGAGCGGCTCCCAACACAGGCCCGGCCTCTGCCCCTACAGAAGTGGATCCTTTCCCTCACAACAGCGCCGAATGCCAGGCTGGAGAATGAGCCCACACCTGTGACAGCACTCTGTGCCAACAGTAAGGAAAAGGGGCTGGGGGCCCAGCCAGCAGAAAGGCCTCCGTCCAGGGGGCCTCCCGCTCCTGCGTGGGGCCGGCGCTTGGGAGGACAGCATTAATGACGGCTCTGTTTCGTTTCAGAGCTGGAATCCGCTGAGGGTGTTGGCTTAAGAAACAAATCAGCCTGGAGAGACTTCTCTGCCGACGCCCCAAGTCAGTGAATTTCTCCATGACACATGAGATGGGAGCTAGGTCACAAAAGTCTGGGCAGAAATTAAGAAACTTAGGCAAAGCACCAGAGTGTCAGAATCAGGCTGCATTCACGCTAGCTGTGCTCGGACCAAAGGCCTTTGTCATCTCCAGCTCCTCCTTGCTCGCTCGTCAGTGCACTGGGCCAGCAGGGACGGACAGAATGAGGCCAGGGAGGTGGCATAGATGTGGGAGGAGGAGGGGGAGGAGGGAGGAGGAGGAAGAGGGTAAAGAGGGGGAGGAGGAGGAAGGGGGAGGGGGAAGAGGAGGAGGAAGAGGAGGCTGGTAAAGAAGGGGAGGAGGGGGAAGAAGAGAGGAGGAAGAGGGGGGAGGAGGAAGAAGAAGAGGAGGAAGGTAAAGAGGGGGAGCCTGCTGATACACACAGCGGCTCAAGGGGGAGCCACTTGGGTTCTCCATGCCAGGGGGAAGGATTTTCTTTTCTCCTCTCCTTTTTTTTTGTTTTTGAGACAGGGTCTCTATGCAGTCCAGGCTGGCTTTGAACCCACTGTGTAGTGCAGGCTGGCCTCAGTCTTACGGTGATCCTCCTGCCGCAGCCTCATGAGTGCTGGGATTACAGGCGTGGGCCACCATGCCCAGCTAGGATTTCTTCAAAGTGACATCCTTCTCCTTCCAGAGGGCTCTCACAGATGAAAAGTGGGATAGAGGTGGCAGTTACCCCAAGTTGTTAAAAAGGGCTTTGTAGAGTAAAGCTGGGACTAGCTCCACAGCCGTCCACTCTCGGCCAGGCCTTGTGGTGCCGGGAAACCCACATGCCCAGGGCAGCAGAGCCCGAGAGGAGAGCGGATCCGGGAGGGTGGAGGATCTTTCAGCCAGGGGGAGGCAGCTCCAGGGGAGGAGCCAGACTTAGGGGAACCTCCACGTTGGTGCAGGTGACTGGGACGAGCCCTTCTTTCCCTCGTGGGCTGGCCTCATACCCGTTTGGTCAGCCAACCTCCTTAGAGCTACCGAGAGCCAGGGAAAGCCAGCTAGCAGCCCAAGTGGGACATCGGGACCAGGCTCCTGGACACCAAAGTTCGGCTAGTGTCTATGCAGGGGAGGAAAGAAATCATTCAATGGCTTTCTAAGAAAACCAGACCTAGTTTTCTTTGGAAAAACTCTAATCTTGTAGATAAGATATCTTCTTATCTAAATCTTATCTAAACCTCAGCTAAATATCTCCCCAAAGTCTCTGGGTGTGGAAGGTGACTGGGTCACAGCCTCTTGCTCTTCAGTGGCTGCGGTCAGGGGTGAAGCACAGTGACGGTGCTGCAGGAGGCAGCCCTGGCTGGAGGGCCCACGCCTGTGCCCACTGGCCTCTTCCTCTGCTGCTCCCTGCCTGCCGTGAGTGCGCAGTTCCCCTCACAAGCCCCTCTACTGAGCGTTTCTGCCTCAGACCAGCTGACCAGGGACTGAAACTTTGACCCGAAACAAACCTCCCCTGGAAGCTGGGTGTCAGGGGTTTTGTGCTGACGATGGACATGTTGTGAAGACATCCTACAGCCAATGCCAAGCGGCAGCAGAGGGAGCTGCGCGTCGGCTCACTTCGACTCCAGGGAGTGGTATGGGAGGTAGCATCTGGCAGGTGACTGACGTTCTGGCCCTCAGCACCCGACGCCACACATGGGAAAGTGTGACCCTCAAGCTACACCGGGGGCACCTTGGTCACACAGATCATCCCCTCCGCTCCACCTCTGGCAATGGATAGCCCTGGGTTGTTTCCGTGGAGGAGCAGGACAGAAGAAATCTTTACCCAGGGCTTTCTGGATCTTAGAACTTCCAGGGTTGAAGTTGGCCCGATAACTCAGCAGTCTCAGCAGCTACCTGGCAGGCGCAAGGACCTGGGTTCAATGCCTGGCACTAGGCATTGCCAGCGCTAGGCGCCAAGCCAGCCATCAAAACTGGGCATGGTGGCTCCCCCCTGTAATCCCTCCCATGCTGGGGAGCTGAGACAGGGGCAGGAGCTGCACTACCAGCAAGACCCTGCACCTGATACATGAATAAATAAGGCTGAAATAGGCACACAGATTCATTAGCACAGAAAAGGAAGCTGAAGCCAGGTCTGGTGCGGCACGCTTCTAATCCCAGCACTAGTGAGGCCAAGGCAGGAGGATCATTGCTTGGAGGCCACCCTGGGCCACAAAGGGAGCTCAAGGCCAGCCTGAGCTGCATAGTGAGAGTGTGTCTCGGGGAAAAAAAAAAGTGGGAGGCTGGGACTCATCAGTCCCTGCTGCAATCGTCACGACGTCAGGGTGTCATGTTCCCTGCTGGATTTCAACAAAGACATTTTGAAGACACTCCCGGAACTTCAAACAAGAGGAATTTCATTAGCGCAGGTCAGTTCCATTGGCTTAACAGGCCTTGTAAAGCGCGAAGCCTGACCACCTGCCTCCCCTGGGCATCCGGGGTATGAAGCAGTGACCCATTTCAGAACAAGTCCAAATCTAGGAACCCTTTGAGACAGGGTGTGTGTGTGTGTGTGTGTGTGTGTGTGTGTGTGCAGAAAGGCGGACTGCGTAGAGCCCTGGGGGTGGGCTGCATGTGCGCGTGCGCGCTAGGTACTGAACCCAGCTCCCCCTCCCGCATGTGAGGCTCGCGCTCCACTCCAAACCCTCACGCAGATCACGTTAAACAACCGTAAAGCCGTCCGCCAGCCAGCCAGTCGGCGTACCTACTGCGGTGCTCGTAGCTGCCCTTACACCGGAACTTATGCGCTGGGAAAACGGTGAAAATTCCTTCTTCTGAGCTGAAGTACTGCCACTTGATCCCAGGGTTGGACTTCAGGTTGTCTGCGAGGACTGCAAGAGGGGGAAATGGACAGCCGTCAGGCCCGCAGGTGCGCCGGGCAGCTGCTGGCACAAGCCGCTCGTCATAGGAAGGAATCCCGCAAATAACGAAGCTGCATCTTCTGCAAACCCTTTTCTTTCTGCCTGTGAAAAAGCCCCATGCATAGAAAAGGCAACGTGTCAGGTTTATGCAGTGATTCTCTCCCTTGCAGGCTGCTCGGATGCCCGTTTCTCCCGCATGCCCGCTCCTTGTGCCCACTCTGTTCCTCCCTGGCTAGGGCACATTCGACAAGCAGGGACACAGTGACACTCACAGGCCCAGTCCACAGAGGGCCAAGACGTGACCTTTCCCTGAGAGCCCTCAGCACCCTTCCCAGCAAGGGAATAGCACGCTGGTCTTGGGGAGCTGCTGGGGGAGGGTGGCTCTCTGTGGCTGGTGCAGCCCGGCTGGGAGCACTGCCGCCCATGCAGCAGCCCCAGGACGCAGAGAGATGAATGCCTCCCGGATCTGCCAGTCATCAGCACAGGGCTGGGGGTTCAGGCCTGGCTGTGCTGGCACCTCCCCGTCGCACCCCAGCCTGCGCCTCAGCTCCACCCCCAGCCCCGCCCCCAGCCTGCATGAGGACTCCACTCACCCTCCCTACAGCTCACGCTCTGTGCCACCCGGCCAGCCGTGGAGCAGCTGTGGTACAGCAGCAGCACAAGGAAGCCGGAGCCGGAATCAGAGGAGGGCGGAGTCCGCACAAACCCTGGAAGGAAGGCTGCCGGGGGCTGGACAGACCGAGCTTTCCGCACCCACGGGAACCTGGAGGATCTGCGCCTGCAGCTCTGAGGCCTGAGAAGCCACTGTGCTGCCACTGAGGGGGGATTTGCCGCTGCCACAGACCCGAGCTTCCACATGCACGCGTCATTTCAGTTTTATAAGCACAGACGCCTCCTGTGGTCTAATCTCCAAGTGGCAAATGAGGAAGCTGCAGCTGAGACCGCTGATGTCACCATACCCCTTCTCTTCTGTGCCACCACTGGAAGCTCCCCCACTGGCATCGCATGGGCCCACCCCGCTCCTCCCAGTGGATTTCAGGGGCACACCAGCAGCAGCTGGATCTTATCCCCACTCCCCAGGCCCAATCCACAACTCTACCTCAGTGTCTGACAATCTTTTTTCAACAAATGCACACTGCAGGCAGAGGGGCGCAGCCATGTCCCAGCCTCGGCTCTTCTGACTCAGCCAGCCCTTGTACCTCAAGTAGAAGAGTCTACACCAAACTCAGTGGTGTTTCATATGGGACTGCGTGTGTGTGTGTGTGTGTGTGTGTGTGTGTGTGTAGCAGTGCTGAAGTGTGCAGGACACACCCGGGGGGCGGTGGTGTGCCAGGACACTGTGTGCTGGCTCCACCTCCAAACCCCAGAGGGGTGGATGGAAAGAGATCAAAAAGACCAAATTCATGCCACGGGAGACAGCCAGGATTAGGAGCGCGGCAGGACATCCTACACCTTTACTGATTGTCAGAGGCTTTGATTCTCGGTGTGTTGAAGAACAGGAGCACTGAGGAAAGCTAGATCTACCTGCTGTGCTGAGATGAGGCTGGGACAAGTGCCGAGTGTGTGCCTGGCTCTAACACACATGGTGGGCTCCTGCCACGTGGGCATAGAGTGTGACAACATGTGCCTGCTACTCCAGCTCGGCAAGTGCAAGCGTAAGCGGGGCTGCTGCAGGAGCCAGTGAGGCAGCGGGACAGGCCGTCAGCAGGGCCCAGTCTGGCATCCAGCTCGCTAAGGACGGCACACACAGCAGTTCCCCTCTGGACCTGTGGGCAGCAGGACTGGAGGGAGCATCCACTGTCCCCTCCCCCGTCCATCAGCATGAGGCTGCCCACACTATAGGTCTCATTTATGGTGCAGGCGTCTTCTGGCTGTCAGCAATATGTTTTCCCTTAGAGCCAGGCAAATAGCTTGACTGCTTTCCAAAAGCTGCCATGCGCATCAGCAGCAGAAGTGTGGGACGGGTGCGCAGGTGACAGTCCAGCCCCACTCCCGCACGTGTGGATGCAGCTCTGGGGCCCCTGCAGCGGCACTGCCCCGAGCGGCACTGTCCCGGGAGCCGTTCCAGGCAGGGGGCTGGGCTGATGCCCTGTGGTCACTGCACTATTCCCTGCTGACCCCAAACCTTCAAAGAAGAAAACGTGCTGTGGAAGAGCCAGATGGTGCCCACTCCCTGCCAGCTGGGCCAGCTCCAGGAATGACTGCTGAGGCCTCCCAGGGTCAGGATCAGTCGCTTCCAGCATGTAGGCGGCCACCAGGTGCCCAATGTGACGAGCCTAAGCCAGCATTCCCAGTGGTGCTGCTGGACTCTGCTCACCACACGTGGAGCATCTAACAGGATGGGCATGGGAGTGGGCGGGGCCCTCGTCCTCCAGCCAGCGCTCGGCACAGACGCCTCTCTGGCACAATGGCCGCAAGCTTCCCTGGAGGACCAAAGTCAGTCCCTCTGTGTCTGCAGGTCATGCTTCCTTGAGCAAAGCCACTCACGTTGGACTTGCTGTGCTGGTCTAGCACATGAGGCCCTGGAGAGTCCCAGCACAGAGAGAAACCACCCAAAAAACCACTTGGCAATATTTTTAAGCTGGGTGTTGCCACACACACTTACAAGCCCAGCACAAAGGAGGATCTCCATGAGTTTGAGGCCAGCCTGGGCTAGAATGAGTTCTCTGAGATCCTGTCTCAAACAACACAAAATGAAGGCGACGCAACTTGGCCTTCCCAGGCAGTGGCTGCAGGCCCGTGTTCATGAATGAGTGTGGCCGTGTGCCAACAAAAGTCTAGGAAAATCAGTGGCAAGGAGTCCCCATCCAACAAAGCTACCAGAACACACCGCGCAGGACACGTGGCGTACCCTTATATTCCAGTATCACCTAACACGTCACCAAGGCGCACATGTACCTCAGGCAGATCCTAGAGGTGAAATCGTCACATTAGGGAGGAAGAAATGGCTCCAGAGAGCTCTGTGGATCTGTAGATCAGACTCGTAGTGATCTGCCTGTTTACATCCTCCTAAAGGCTGGGATTACAGGTGCGTGCCACCCCACCCAGTCTCAATTGCCTTCTCAGTGTGCCCCGAGGGTGCAGCTGGCACGGCAAACCTGAGGCTAGAACCCCCCAGTCCTTGCGCCTGCTTGCAGGCGCTTTAATCTGCTGAGCTATTTGGCCGGCCCTACCATGATGATCAGGATTAGTATGTTTAGAAACCCTATGAAACAGCAAGTCCTTGAAAGTTGAACCACAAAATAGCAAGGGACTACTGTAATGCAGACCCCCCCCCCCACACACAATGCAGACACATGTCACAGACATGCAACTTACAGACATGCAATGCACACAGACACAATGCAGTCACAACACACACAGACAGACAAAGTACATCACAGCCTCCCCCGCTGACATTCACCCCAAGCCCGGAGCTCCCCCTCAGGTCCTTTCTGGGTCGCCTCTTTTCCATCTGCCCAGAATGCACACTGCCTGCATCAGTGTGAGGTCCTGCCCAGCCCTGGGCTCCCAGGCTGCTCTGTGCCTGACCCGCCCAGGTCCCTCAAGTGGAGATTCTGCCTCTGTTCCCATTCACAGCTTCTGGGGGTGGGGAGGAGGGGGTAGGATGCGAAGGATCTGCACGTTCATTGGGTCAACTCTAAAATGCTATTTTCCTCTAACACCATATTCAGTGAAAAATAGTCTCCCGTTATGTCATACGGAAACCATGATAATTTTATTTATTTATATTTTTGTCTTTTTGAGATCGGGTCTCACTATCTAGCTCAGGCTGGCCTTGAGCTCACTTTGTAGTCCAGGCTGGTCTCAAACTCACAGTGCTCCTCCTGCCTCAGCCTCCCGAGTGCTAGGATCACAGGTGCACGCCACTATGCCCGGCTCCCACAGTGCTACCACCCACTCCCTACCCCGAACCCCAAGGCCTCGATCCTACCCCCTGCCGTACGACCAGCACTGAGGTCCTTCCCAGGCGAAGACCCAGGCAGAGCCTCTCGGGATTACTCCATGGGTCCTCCATGCAGAAGGCGTCAGTGGTGCAGGTTCCCCATGTAGACTGGACTGGCTCTCAGTAAAGCTATTTTGCCAATGAAAGGGGACGCTCGTGGGGCCCACCACAGAGGCCCCCTGGGCGCCGCACTCTCCGCATCACCCCATTTCCTCACCCCACCAGGGCAGTGTGCACTCGCTCTGGCCTGGGCAGAGCCACGACTTGGCTTGGGTGCGTCTGCTCCAGAGAACTGCTCTTGTGGCATACGTGGTGCTTGTGTGGCAGTGACACGCGTGGGTGAATGAGGCAGGGCACACGGCCATGCGTGCAGGCACTGCTTGGGCAGCGCAGGCAGGAACGAGGGACTGCATCAGGAAACAGGAGCAAATCCAACTACGGGAGACACGGCTCTCCCAAAACACCTTCGCGACTGAAATACCGCAAAGGTGGAGGGGAATGCTTGCTCTTATGAGAAGTCGAACCACGCACGCTGAAGGGGGAGGTCTCAGGCACAGGGTTCGACCATGGCCCATGGGGCAGATGGTCACCCTCAGCATCTGCAGAGGTGGGTCCTGTGAGGGAGAGCAGGACACGGAGACATCCTCCAAGGTGGCTGGAACAGCAGGACTCCATCTCAGTCTCAGGCAGCGGGCGGAAACGAGCCCAACCCTTTGCACACCGCCTAACCAGGATGAGAAGCCACTCAAGCAGTGGGAGCAGCTCACAGGAGCCAAGTCTTGGGACACAGCGCTCACACTTCTCGGAGTACTACTCTGCCATAAGGAGGGCTGGACTGGGGCTCTTGGCAGGGAAGCGGATGCGCAGAGATGAGAAAGTGGAATAAACCAGCCACACAAGCTTAATATTACACAGCATCTTCTACAGGAGAACCCTAAGGCACAAACAGGCACAATGCAAAATGAAAGACAATAGAAAGGGCTGGGGAGATGGCTCAGTAGAACAAGCACTTGTCTGGCAAGTG